TTTAAAGCTCTTTGAATGAGCCCTGCTAACTCTTGTGCAAAGATCCTTTTCCTCATTGGAGACAGGTGTACCTCACCTGTCACCAGTAGGCCTGGTGTCTTGTAGACCGGCCCCTGATCAAAAACCCTAAAATTTTGCTGGTGACACCAGTGTGGGAGCCAGTTATTGATCTGCTGGGTCTTCCTGTTCATTCCCTCATCTTTCCCTGCAACTGGAAGGATAGAGGAGAACACTGCTTGTGCTCCTGATCCCTTAATCAGTCATCCCAAGGCTCTGAAGTCTCTTTTGATTGCCCTTGGACTTATTGCAACTTCCTCACTGCCTACCCAAAAAACCTTACTTAGTAAGGTTCTGGTTTGTGTGACTCACATTTGGAAATGGTATGTGATACGCTTGTTTCCTGATAAATTCATTCCCACAACATTAAAATTGTGTAGCTTAATATCTGGTAAAAAGGACTCCAGTTGTCACATTCTTCTGATGATGTTATCATGTATCAGTGGTTTAGAAAGTGACATTACTAAGCTGGAGCCTTTTTCAGACACTAATACATTTGGACACAAAATCTGGTTTAAGGAGATTCCCTGGGTGGTGTAAAGCTGCAGAAATGGCTCTGTGTCACGGCTTGGCAATGAAGCCATGGGCCTGCTGAGAAGAGCAGGTGGCCAGAGGACATAGTGGTTAGGGTACTCCTGGTGGGGAAACACTGCCTGGAGCCAACACAGCCCTGGGAGAGTGAGAGAAACAGGTCACAAGTGAGATAGCTTGCATTTTCCCATGTTTGTCAACAAGTTGAACAAGAAACTTACCAACAGCATTATAAGTTGTCTGCCTGAAAATATCACCTTAATCTTTCAAACACAAAGCTTGCATAGAATTCCTCACTCCTACGAATACTAATGCAACTTCATGTGTTTGGTGTCAGATCACCAAATACCCCAAACTGGGATATTACAACAGCCAAACTCAAAGCCCTTGTTTCACTTGCTCTGTGCACCATGTGTATGGGTGTTAGGGGTGAGCAGGAGTTGATATTGGCTGCTAACAGCATGTGAAAGTATCAGCTAGCGTCTGTAAGACTGTAAGCTCTTCTGACAGAGGCACAGCTTTGATTGGTTGACACACTAAATTCACAAGTGCTTACTGTTTTTCAAAAGTCTTATGCCAGCTTCTAACAATGATTTAAAAATACAGTTCTAAAGTTATTGAAAACATGCAGCTGGCTGTTTATGAATGGTTTATTTGTCTTCTCTGAAATGTACACATTGTTGTGAAGATTTTCTTGCTGGTCTCTAAATTTGTGCCTTGTTACTGGTTATCTTACAGCAATTTAAATCTGGCCAATCTAGGTCTGCTATCTAGGAGCACAGATAAGCTCGTCTCTTCCTCACTCCCAGGCTCATGACAAGAGTAATCACCAGTTTTATTAAATACTGTAAGCAAGCAATTACATTAAAAGATTCTTTGGCTAACCTAAAGGGTTGTGATGTAACTCTGGTAGTCTGCCTGCTACCCCCTGGCAAATCAGATGATTCTCAGTTTCTGTAGGAATAATACCTCCACTGGGCCTAGGAATGGCCTGAAAATGAAAAAAATGGCTAGAGTTTTGATTTCCTTTTATCTTTCAGTAGTATTTTATGTCACTGTACTGAAGTGTTATTGTGTACACTTTAGAGCCAGGAAGAGTGAAGGATGTTGCCTAAAAATCTCCCTGCAAATTAATAGTATTCCTTCACTGCGAATGGTCTGTTTCCCCAGACAGTATTTGACAGTATTTGGAGCTTCACTTACAGATAAAGAATTGTTCAGATGATTTGATCATTGTTCTTAAAACTGCAGTTTCATTCTGTATCTTTCAACGTAGAGACAAGTCAGCATTAATGCAGCATTCCCTTTTTATGAATGCAGTTGCATGTTCTTGTTGTCCAACTGACAGAACAAGGAGCCTTTGCATACCAATCTGCCATAGCAAAACCAGATCAACAGTTTTGATAACTTCACAAAAACAGATGTTCTCCAGTATTTTTCCATATAATCAGTTAATTAACTGCTTTAATTATAAAAAACTCTGTGATTTTGGAGTAAAATTGAGCATAACATATCTCTTTATCTAGTAACAAATTAGATGTACAACTGACTAACCAGAGAACATCCCAAAATAAGTATTCAATTCTTTCTTTTTGAGACTACCAGGTAATAAGTTCTTGAGGAAAGATACATGCTGACTGACAGCAAAACAATGATAAAAAAATTACCAAGAAAAAATTCTTGCCCATCTCTGAGTTAATTCTATTGACATGCATTTAATGAATGCTGTTTACTTGCCAGAAAATGAAACAAATAACGGGCACTGCTTTAGCAAATCACTAGCTGGCTAAAGTGTTTTTCGTGAATTAATCTTTCTTTTTATGAATGTAAGACAGAAAAAAAAGAAGATCTTGCAACCAGTAATGACATCTGTGAACTCCTTCTCTGTGTTCTGCAATGGCAAAACACTGCCAGGGACTATAGTGAGCGACAGGGTTGCCATGCAGCCCCAGCAAAACAGCCCTCTGAAAAGGCATGCTGACCCACTTTCAACTACCAACTTGCTGACCCTTTGTTGAGTGAGAGGTTCTTCCAAGTTTTTGTTGTTTTCACCCTTTCAGTTCCCATTTCTAAAGGAGCAAGCCTGTCTCTCTCTTTCTCCTTATTCTTTTCTTTCTTTCCCACTATGCATGTTGTTTCTTTTGACTGTCATTGCTTTAGTTAATTTAAAAAAAAAAAAAAATCTTCCACCCTTTCCTTTGTTAAGAACATGCTGTGGAAGAAATACAGCTCTTGCCATCAACAAAATTATGATACAATTCCTTAAGGAACTCAGTCTGATCAGAGTAATTCATCTATGAAAAACCAGACTTTAATTGTTACTCTTGGCAACAGTGAAGGATAATAGTGTAATATTATACTAAATACTGCCACGTGCAATAGTAAAAAAAACCTGTTTCAGTCTTGCCAGCAGCGCTGTGCAAACCCCCTTTTGAATTCAGGTTTGGATGTTGCGATTTAATCTAAATCTTTTGCTTCTCCTTCTTCCAAAACCAACAGAGGTTTAGAGAGCACTGCATTTTTATTGGAACCATTTGCTCAGCCTAAGTTGCCAAAATAATTTAGTTAAAACTAGTGCTTTTATTTGGGTTAAGGTTGATTCCTGAGCTCCACAGAGGTCGAGGCACTTAGTTTGTCTTCCTTTTTTTCAATTCCACCACGGAGTCTACAGCAGAGCTCTGCCAGCTCAAGTTGTATTTCCTGAATCCCATTCCCCCAGTTGAGCTTATCTATGTTTGTGATTTTGCACAAGTGGAGAAGAAACCTTTTTTTCAGCCCTTTGCCTCACTACTTACCTGCTACAATGCATAGAAAAATGTGTGGGTCCAAGGATTCAAAATAAGCAGGCTCCAGTAGTGCAACAGTGCAAGTCCTGCTGCCAATGCTGCTACTGCTGGTGTGTTAGTGTGACCTCTCCTTTGATAATGAGTGACAGCTGCTGTGAAATGCCTCACAGAGTGTCTGCCTCTCTTGGGCAACAAGTGGAAAAACATAAAAATATAGAATTTTGGAAGTGAGTTATGGAAAAAAAAAAGCTCTACTTTATGCTACTTGAAAAGTATTGTTTGAATTTCAGATAGCTCCAACAAAATGATAATACAGTCACAATCTCCTGCCAAAATTTTTAAATCCTGGGAAATGTTTCACAATAACAAATACTGTAATGTTATTACAATTAAGGAAGTATCTATTTCTCACTAGGTATGTGTTTTTGTGTGTGGGCATGTGCTTGTAAATGGGACAAAACCAGGCTCTTGAATGTCAGAACTTTCACATGATGAGGGTCTATACCCATTTCTAAATCTATCCTCTGTAGTTTAGAGCCTGGTTTGGATCCAAAAATGGAAGGTTTTTTTTGTTTAGTTTCTATTCCATTGCCACAGAAATGTCATAGGTCAGAATGATATATTAAAGATGCTCTATAGTAGCAATGCCTTGATCTGAAATAGATTAAAGTTAGCCTTTAGTCTTAAACTGAAACCAGGGTAAAGATTTGACGGGTTCTTGTATGTTACATTCTTCTCACAGGAGATCCTAGCGCAAAACAGTTCAAATCTCATCTTAAAAGAAGTACTGCAGTCTTGGGTGGAATTCTCATGAAAAAAGAAGCAGGAACAAGCCATTCTGGGTTTTTTTTAGATGCAATACAAACTGAAAGCAGTAAGAACTTAGTGAAAGGGAAGCAGAAGCCAATCTGTGTTGAAATGCAATGCTGTATGGATTCAAGGTCCAGTTTTAGCTCATCCTGAAGATATATATCTTATTTAATGGCACAGATGTTTACCTCTGCTTGCATTGCAAAAGAGAGAAAAAGATAAAAATACATAGCTTTAATACAAAATTACAAGCCAAAATTTTAGAAACTTACATGATAGCTGACCGAATAGTATGATTTTTGTCCCATTAAAAGTCTTGATAGCTCAAGATTTTATTTTATCCTTAATCTGACAGAAATCTTAAACATAAATAATGTAAGGCGAATCATATAAAACAGAAATTTGAAAATACTGTTTTGTAATTTTTAATAAAAATTGTCAACAATTCTGAATGAAAATATGGTCTGAATCCAGAAAGTGCTGCATCCTCAGCTCTAGACTATTTTATCAGAATACTAGCTATACAAGGAAGAATTAAAAACCACTGATTTACTTAGCTTTCTGTAAGCAGTGCATGAAATAGGACTGAAGGGGACTAAGAAGATCTGTCCAATGCAATTTGTAGCTGCTGGTTTGGGGTTTATTCATTCTAAGAGGTTTTCCTTATAAAGTGAAGACAGACCCTTCAGTTTCAGCCTGAAAGGTCTCAAAACTATGCACAATATTGGGTCAAACAAAGTACTTGAGATTATTTTTTCTTCAAAAATATCAAATAAGATGTTGCCTCTGACAGCAAAGAAGAAAGGAAGCTCTCACCCTTATAACCAGCTGCATTGGTTTTCCAGTCATTAGCATTCAGATGTCCTGCACGTGAAGTCCTGACAATAATATGCTGTATGTCCCTCCAGGTCAGAAATGGGCTATGAAAAAGGGGAAAGACAAAAGTCAGAGATGAGACATATTTTACCAGATCGTAGAGATACAAGGTCATTGAAACTAAAAAAATATCCAAACCAAACCAACCCCCATTTATCTTCTCTGCTTTCCTTTGCTACATTCAAAATAATGTGTTCAAATTTTACAGAATTACTAAATGAAATTATTTATACAGCTGGGAGGTTTGCATTAAGCAGACTATAATGATATATGATAATATTCTATTATATAAAACTTAAGGGAAGATGAAGGAGTAGATTTCACATAGAGGTTATTTGTATGACCACCAACTACTGTTATGTTATCTACCTTGACCAGTGCAAAGGAAAAAAAAAGCAAAATGTTGGCTTGCTGAAAAGCTCTACTAAACCTTACTAACTGCATGCTCAAGCTGGTAATTCCTTTAGACTTTCAGCTCCTACTGAAGCTATTTCAGGTGCCTCTGTTGCTATTCATTTGCCTATTACCCCATGTCTTGAAATTCACTGAGGGTCTGTGTATTCTTCAAGAAGACCAAGAAGCCAGCACTGAATCTGAATGGTTACAGAGCAAGCGCCTGATTGCACAGATGCATAGTCCTTTAAGGAATTCCTAATAAACTGTCCACTGGGAAGGTGAAAGAAGATGACATTTGCATCCTCACAATGACATTAATACCCATTGATCATGTAGGACTAGAGCAAATCTTTAGGGAATATAGCTTTCTTGTTTCTCTTAGATGCACCCCAAGAACTTCTTGTCTTAGAAGATGATCTAAAGGTGCATGGCCACCACTGAGGTATTTTTTTCTTTCTCCTTCCAATTTCTCAGTTTTTCTATCATCTGTAAGAAGATTAATAATAATCCATTTAAAAATGCAGTTTTAGTAGAGAGAATGATAAACTGAGCCACTAGATAATGAAGAGGAAAACAGTATCTCAGTGCAGAACACCAGTCACTCAGTATCATTCTCAGAGTATCTTTATCTGCCCCTATTGCACTCACTGGCACAATTCCACTCAGTTGTAATGATGAAGATAGACCAGAAGGAATTTTGTCAGACCCAGCACTGGCTGTCTACACTGTCCAGGACTAGGCAGTCATTGAAAACCCAGGAAATCTTGGTTCAGTTCCTTAACACACACTCTTGTGCCTCTCAGACCAAGAAGTCACTTAGGCCAGCAGACAAGTGACTTATTCTTGCACTTATCTTTAAGGCATGATACTTGGGCTCTGCTTCCACTTGCAGGCAGAAACTATGCCAAGACAACAGCCATAAGAGTGTGGGGAAGGTCAGCCCATGGGTGATTGTGAGCTAGTCACTTTCTGGAACATTGCTGTTACATGGAATGACTACACTCTTAAACCAACACATAGTCAAGTTACTAGAAATTTCAGTGAGAAATTTTGGGAAGCAGACGCAGGATAACAACAAACATGCAGAAGCATCTTGTTCTTCTCTTAAGTTCCCCTGACAGTGGAAGACACAGAAAAATCTCACTCATCTCTCTGTTTGATATAGACAAATCAATGTTGTGTGGATTGGCATCCACAGACATTGTTTCACATCCTTCAGAACTTGTTTTGTCAAAAGAATATCTTTCTGGAAATACTTGAGTAATCAGTGCTTTACGGTGCTTAAATACAGAAGTGGAATCCTGCTTATCCTGTGAGACAAAAGCAAGCTATTAGGAAGCAATCAGTGAATACAGGTGATAATCTATTAAAAAGTGAGCACTTTCTTTTTCATTTAAGATACATCAATTCAGGTTTTCAGGTGACAAATTTCAGTTTCCACAAGCTGCATGTTTAGGAGAAGGCAGTAGGGATGCAGAAGTTATTGCAAACCTGCAGTCAACTTGTTTATAGAAAAATTTGCTCCTAGCCTATCCTCTGGGCACATGTAGACATACATATTCATGGGTATTAACCAATAGAAGTTCACTTGTGTTGGCGGGATTATTGAAAATGAAAACCAATTTCAGAACCATGGTCTGTAAGTCTGTACAGGAGAGAAAAACGTGGGACGTACAGGACATTTACTCAAATATAACTGATTTTTACACATTTTACTTTCCAATAGCCTTATAATTCATATGCTTGGAAAGAAGTAGAAGTTGCCTAAAAATGTAAGACTTCTTTTTTGTAACAAGATTGTAAGGAATAATGCAAAGACAGGGACCAAACCACTTAACTATATATATATTTTGCACATTTCCTTTGCAGTAATATGATATTAATACTGTGTGTATCTTTTTCATTACAGAACATTTCCCAGTAGGTGTGCGGACCATGAGCATGCTGATACAATCTAGCACCTTTCTAGCTACAGCTGGGACACCATGGAAAGTGCCACATATTCTTCCAGAGTCAACACAGAAAGTCCTGTCTATAGTTGTTGAAACAGGAAGAGGAAATGGAATAATCTGAAAAAGGAAGATGATTTTCAATCTTACTAATTTTAGCCAGATATTTTGTAATTTCTTGCAAGCTATATCAATCCCTGGCCACTTAATCTCTCTCTGGCTTTGTCTACAAGATACACAAGAATACAAAGGTATTCCCATATCTAAATTATTCTGTTATTTTTAAGGAGAGTTGATGCCTTCTGTCCCTAAGCATTTATTAAAGCATTAACATGCCCATAGATACATTTTTTTTCTTAAAGAGGAAATTCTCACACTAGACAGTTGGACTATGATGGCAGTAATTGTTTATTCAGTTAAAAAAAAAATCATGGATTTTAAGGAGCATTAAGGGTTTGTAAGATAGGGTATGCTTGGACAGTCATGTAGTATGTTTCAAGAAGAAAATCAATATGATTTTATACCAGCTGAGGAATTTCACTGGGAGCCTGTGTAAAATCTTAGAAAAACATGTTTCAGGCTTTCAGGAAGCCCTCCAGGAATCCCAAGAGCTGCATTCTTTATAATCTGGAATCTAAACAATCTGTTATTCTCTAAAGTAAGCTGTCTACGCTACTGGTGAAAAAATAAGGCACTAAAATACTCCTCTCAACTTCTGAAGGAGAGATTCAAGATAAGGCACACTCAACTGATTATTTAAAGAGGAATGACGGATCTAATGGTTGATCTAAGTATGCCTAGGTAAAGGATCTAAAGTAGTCTTCACTTAATAATACTAACTTCTCATAAATTGGACTTAGTTGCTCAGTCAGCAAATGAGATTATGTCTCAGAATCATAGTTTACTTCTAAAAACAATAAGCATGGCAGATCTTGAAAACTGAGCCATTCACTGTTGTATCTACCATCCTTATCTAATCATAAAAAATAATGTAAGAATATCTGGGGCAGAAAACCTTGATCAAAGGTCTGATTTCCAGGACATGACATCTTACATCATTAAATCCATCTGCCTCTTATGCAACCTCCAAATCTGCTTGCTTACTGTATAATTCATATGATTTTTATGTTTTCTTCTCAAGGAATGGCAGTTTGGGAATATTTATATCTAAGAGATTTAACAGCATAAGAACAATATTCAAACCAATTTCTGTAGCTTACTTTAGGACCTTAGAATTGAGCTATTGCCAGATTGAAATTTTCTCTGTACACTAAACACCTCATTTGAAACAAAATAGGTCTGCAGTTGTTTGCCCATAATTTTTTTCAGAAACTTTAACAAAAAAAAATAATAAAAAAGAAAGAAACTGGAATGATGTCAAAATAGCAGTTCATTTGGAGAAAGAAGAGGGAATTTTTGTTTTGGCTTTTTTTTTTTTGTTTGAAAAGATAGTCTAGCAGCCAATTTTAAAGCATCTGGAAAAATCACAGAATTGGTCAAATATTTGTAAAACATGTCAAAATTGGATCCTAAGTGAGTAAACAGTTGTTTGCTAGCCATGTGGGCCCCAGATCCAGACAAGATGTCACTGATGTTAATTGATTTACCACTTGATTAATCTCAAAAGAATTAATGGCTAAGCATCTTGAAATGGACAAATGCATTAACAAGAACAGTACTAACTCTGCTTGAAAATGGATTGATTTCAAGAAATGGGCAATTTCCTTCCAGAAATTTTTTTTTCAATGTCTCATCTGAAATTGCCTTGGGATTACACATACCAGACAATACTCAACATCAAACCAGGATAAGCAGAAGTGAGAACAATTACATACAAAACTCCTTGTACAGCAGCCAAAAAATAATGAATGTTGTGTCCTTAACCAATAGTTATGCTCTAAGGTACAGTCTTCTTATTCTAGCCTTCTCAAAATACTTATGAAGCAAGGTAAATGAGAAAAAATGAAATAGGACAAATATATTAAACTATGTTACAGTAATATTCATTTGAGATTTAACTGTACCTTTAAACACATTGCTTAGAAATAGTAGATCATAATTTTTGGCCAGATCCGATTTCTTCATTCCACAGGTAGTCTCCCAAGTGATAGTTGGGCTAATCTTGGAAATAGTAAAGGATTCAGGCTCTATCCTTTTGCATAAAGACACTATGCCAAACATAACTGTTCAGAATAAATAACTGGTGCCAATAATATCATTCTGAGCAACAAACAAGTAGGGTGAAACTTTGGGGTTTTTTAGCAAAATGGTGTGGTTGCTAATGATTGCTACATTATCTTCATAACCAGCAATTTGAATGTGACAAAGGTGGCCTATCTGAAAAAAAAATTCTTCCCAAAATAGCCAAGTCCGATGAGAATTGCTGGAAGAATACAATACACTTTTCTCCAAAGAATCAAGGAAACACACTATCATAGAGTGCACTAAGAAGAGGATCACCATTCAATTTGGAAGTATCAAATAACCTTCTCTGGAAATCTTGGCTATGAGAGAACAGACGTGGATAATTATTGCTGTAAAAAGGAGTTTCTGTGCCCTATACATCTTGTAGACTAGTAGGAGATAATTTTCATCACTAATTTCTGCATAACACCACCCTTAAGGGTTTTTATGATAAATTTATTAAAAAAATGTAAGAAATAGTTGCCTGGTTTATTCATGCATTGCCATCACTCACA